GTAGCAGGCAGTTAGGCAGGCATGAGCAGAGTAGGACTGACCAGCTAGGTGCAGAGGGTCACCAGGGCAGATAGCCCCAGGTGCCTAGCAACGGGCAAAACTATAAGCCCTTGAACGACCATTCCCTTAAGAATTAACCTCTGGAGATGACATCTAGGCCTCAGTTGTGTTTCAGCTCCAGGCCCAGAAAAACACCGAAACCATGCAGTGACGCCATGGCTGACATCAGGACCAGCTGCAATGACTAATGACCCCCTGCCCTGGCGAAGACCAATTAGTAGAGCCCACGATGCTGAAAGGACATACCTGGAAAGCTGATGAATATTCTATTGAGATTCTCCCATGAGACTTTAGGACAAGGACCCTCCGAGGCTCTCTCTATGGAACATGCCTTTGCCTTTCCCCACCCCCTTCCCCTAGGTGTGTTTTTCTTGCCTCTCTCTTTCTCCTAAACTCTAAGAGCCTTTCTTTTGCCTCTGTAACTTGTTTCCTGAGCTGATTTCTTCTACGGCTCACCTCTACCTCTGTGACTTTCTAAATAAAGATTCTCTTACAGTTTGAGTCTTGGCTCTGAATTCTTTCTTAGCCAGAACTGAAGTACTGAGGTTGCTGAACCAAGATCTGGTCTGACTCCACCCATCTAACACCTGGTGCCTTTTTTCCACCGTTAACATATCCATACAGTGGAATATTATTAGGCCATGAAAAGGGATGACATACTGATACATGCCACAACATGGACAAACTGGAAAACATTATGCTAAGGGGAAGCAGCCAGGCACAGAGGACCACATATTGTAGGATTCTATTTACATGAAATGTTCAGAATAGGCAAATCCATGGAGATGGTCCATCCGTGGTTGCCAGCGCTGGGGGAAGAGGGGAGAATGGGGAATGGCTGCTAATGGTTACAGAGTTTCTTTCTGGGGAGAAGACAATGTTCTAACGTTGATTGTGGTGATGGTTGCATAACTTTGTGGTTACACTAAAAACATTGAATTGTACACTTTAAGTGGGTGAATTGTATGTTATGTGAATTATATCTTAAAACTATTATTTAAAAAAATACAGCCTCCAGGAGGCCACCCTGACTGTTCCAGCCACTCTATTTCCTCCTCTGCTCAGATTCCCATAGAGCCCCCATTAGCTCATTACCATGGCCCATTGACCTTTCCTCTCCTTCAGAGGCTAAACTGTCTCCTCACTGGGTGGGAATCATCTTCTCCACATCTCCCTGGACAGGATGTAGCTCCCTGATTGAAAACACAGGCTTTGATGACAAACTTTTGTTCAACTCTAACCCTGGGACCTTTTAGCTGGGTAGCCTCGGGACAAGTCACTTCCTAGTGCCTCAGCTTGCTCATCTGTAAAAGTTATGAGTACCAGTGGGGTGGCAAAAAGGCACCCACTGCAGGATGCCATTATTAGTCCTTTGCTGTTGCTAAAACAAGCCCATAGACCACTCCCAGGCCTCCCTGGGCGCCAGGGACAATATCTATTCAACTGTAGCACATGGAACAGTCCCTCCAGGCCTTCTAGGCTGATGTAGGCTGTCAGTAACCCCACTTTTCCATATCTTCCCCAAATAGAGTTTTTCTTTAACTCCCTGGGCAACTGCTGAGAAACTCAGGACAAGCCCCTCAAGGCCCGGGTTCCATGGGACCAGCCTTGAGGCTCTCACCTTGTCCCCACAGAGGGCTCCACAAGGCCCGCTTGCTCACCTGCTCTGTGAAGATGGAATTCCTCAGGCGAGGGCACCAGGTGAAGCCCCACCCGACCCTGTTGCTAATGTAGGGGTTTAGAATGAGTCACCCCAAGATGTGCCTCTGTGATATGCAGATTATTTCAAAGTAAAGGCAACTGAGATCCTGAGAGCTCAAGAGAAACTTCTGTCCCATAAAACTACCTAGAAGAATTTACATTAGAGGCCTTGCCTATAATAAGAGATTAGCAGAGATAACTTTTTGACCTTAGAACAAGGCAGGCATCTCATTACTGAACATCTGCTCTCTTATCAACCTGCAATGGCCTTCCCCTCGGAAGCCTCAAGGTCACCCTTAGCTCAGGATGTCATATATACCTCATTTTACTTCCCTGTCTTTCGACCTCTCATGCATGCAGGGTCTCTAACTCTCTCATGTATGTGGGGTTCCCATACATACGTATGTAATTAAATTTGGGTATTTTCTCTTGTTACTCTATCTCACGTAGATGTAATTATCAGAGCTGCCTAAAGAACCTAGGAGAGTAGAGGAAAGTTTCTTCCTCCCCCACACTAGTAACTGATCAAAGAGCAGGTTGCCAAGGTTCCAGAAACCTGAGCAGCCCCTTTTGGGAGTGGCCTCTGCAGAGCTTGCCCTCAGCCCCATTCCTGGGTCACCTTTTCACCCCCAAGACCCCTCCCAGGACATGAGTTTCAGGATTCCTGCTGGGAAGTGACCTTTTGCTGCTGTTTGGGCCTGCGAGCTCCTTCCCTCTCTCTTCGCCTTTTTTTGTTTCCCTTTAAGGAGCCATTTCTCCCCAGGTGGGCTCAGGTGGAGATGATAACCCACTGCTCCCATTGTAGAGGGAACACTTGATTCTAGTTTGGCCAATCAGAGCCGTTACACTTACCGGGCACAGTGACTGGTTCATGGGCAGGCATATGCTCTGCAGTGGATGAGGGCAGGGGCTTCAGTCAGGCTGCCAGGGTTCAAATCCCAGCTCTGCCACTTTGTGGCTGTGTAACCTTAGGCAAGCTGCTTCACCTCTCTGTGCCTCAGTTTCCTCATCTGTGAGATGGGATCGTCATAGTGCCTACCTCATAGGGTTGTTGTGAGTGCTGCATGAGCTAATGTAGGTGAGGGGTTCAGAATGGAACCTGGCATATAGTAAGTGCTCAGTAAGTATTGGCTATTATTTATACTATGCCTAAGGCCCCTAATGTTCCAGTCAGATATCACAGGAAACAAACGGCACTTCTGGTTAGGATAATTTGAGGAGGGTTTAAGAAATGTGTAGGCAGCCTGGCCAGTGAGGCCTCAGTGGTTGAGTGTCCAACCATGAACCAAGAGATCATGGTTTGATTCCCAGTCAGGGCACATGCCTGGGTTTTGGGCTTGATTCCCAGTAGGGGGCATTCAGGAAGCAGCCAAATGATGACTCTTTCTCATCACTGATGTTTCTATCTCTCCCTCTCTGTTCCTCTCTCTGAAATCAGTAAAAGCACATTAAAAAACACACAAAAAAACACACTACACTTGTAGGCAGGGAAGTACAAGGGATGGTGCCCTTAACCTCAGATCTGTTACTGTCCTCAGCCCAAAGATGAGGAGAGGGGAGGTTACCAGACCCAGAAACAGAGTCCTGTCAAGACCACCAGGGGACAGGGCAGGGCAGGGGCCCTGCACTAAGGGACCCAGCCAGTTCACGGGGACCCTGAGGGAGGCAGCCAGGAAAAGAAATACTCTGGCTCTCCTCCCTCCCTCCAATCTCTTGCATCGGGCTCCCCAATCGCAAAGCCAGCTGGAACCAGAAAGCTGGGGAGCCCACTGGTCAGTGTCTGTGGGTGTAGAGTCCCTATGGGTCAGCCTCCTGGAGCGGGGCTGGAGGAGCAGCAGAGGACAGAGCTGTGGAATCAGACAAAATGGGCTCAAATCCAACTCGGCCTCTGGCTGGGAAGCTTAGGCAAATCAACCAAGTGAAGCCATCTTGGCTCCTCCGGAGCAGCCTATTTTCTAGCTAAATACCATGCAGTGACCTCTGTCAATGTCACAGGGGACAGGAGAACCACTGGACAGGCCCTGCCTGAATTCCTGGCTGGTAGAATTGTGAACCAGAATAAAGCCGTTGCTGTCTGGGGTATTTTGTTTTGCAAAAGTAGGTAGAGAAAACAGCTCTTTCTGTGACATTTCCATCTTCTCTGACCCCCAACAAACCCCCACACCTTTTAAAGATTTCTCTTTGTTACTTTGAGAAATCTTTAAAAATAGGGGAGAGGGGAAGCTTTCTTATTGCAAAATCAATCAGTATCCTTAGGGATCAACTGGGAACAAAGTGTCTGCAGTGGCTGGCAATCTCAGAGAGAGGGAGTGCTCATGAACTGAGGAGACACCCCAAAAAGCTTTTAAAACACCCTCAATCTGGATTATCAGCCAGCTTTTTGTCTGGTGTCCCACTTCCCCTCAAACAGCCCCACCCATCCCTGCAGCAGAAACTGGAGGCTTCTAAGATCTTCCTCAGGGAACCTCTTTCCTGCCCAGACAACCAGATGCATTTGTTCATCTGACTCAAAGATCGGTCCCTGAAGCCTGTCTGCTCCCAGCTGAAGTGCTCTCTTAACCTGCACTTGTTACACATTTGCAGACACTATAAGGTTCTCACGCTTCAATTACCCTCAGCATGAGTGCAGGCTCCTTGGGAGCAGGGAATACACCCTCCTTTTAATTTTTATCTCTCCCTCCCCCTGCCAATATCCAGTGGAGGACTTTGCAAATAGCAGGCATTTAATAAGCACTTAGCTAAATAAAAACAGCCGAAGAGAAAGGCTTTTCCATTTCTGAGTTCTGTTCCATTGCGAGGATTGTCCCAGCTTTGTGCTGTCAGAAGATGAGCTAAAATTAGGGTCATGAATGTCCTGAATTCACAGCCTACCAAGTTATGACACCAGTGAGGCCCTGGAGGTCATGGTGGGATGAGACATGCCATAGGAAGGTGCTCTTGGGTTTAAGTGACAGAAAACTCTGACTCTGAGTGGATTGAGTGTGAAGGAACTAGACTGTCTTGTATAACTCAAAACCCAGAGCTTCAGTTAGCTATTGCTGTGTAACAAATTGCCCCAAAATATAGTGTCTTAAAACAACACATTTATTATCTCACAGTCTCTGGGAGTTGGAAGTCCTGGCACAATTTTGATGGTTGCCTCTGCTTTGAGGTCTGTCAGAGGCTGCAGTCAGATTGTTGGCCAGGGCTGGGGTTGTGTCTGAAAACTTCTCTAGGGAAGGACCCGCTTCCAAACTCACATGGTGGTTGGTAGGACTCAGTTCCGTGAGGGGCCTCAGTTCCTTGCTGGCTGTTGGCTGGATGTCATCGTCAATGCCTGGCCATGTGGAAATGTCCAAAATGGCACTGCTTCATCAAAGTGTGCAACCTGAGAAGGCAAAGGAGAGTCTGCTAGCAAGATGGAAGTCACCACCTTATGTAACCTAAACAGAAGTGACATCCCATCCCCCTTGGCCTATTCTGTCAGAAGCAAGTCACAGATCATGCCTACATTCAAGGGGAAGTGATTAAATGAAGGTGTGAAAACTAGGAGGCAGGGATCATTGGGAGCCACCTTAGAAGCTGCGGGCCCAGGTGCAGAATAATCGGGGACTCAGCTGCCATCAATCCCTCGGGTTGTTCCCACTCTCTGCTCTGACCTCCCCAGGTTGACTTCATCCTCAGGAGAGTTCTCCTGTGGCTCCAAGACAGCTTCCAGTGGCAACTGGAATCTTGTTCTCTGGGTCCACTCTGCAAGAAAGGGGAGAAGCCTCTCTACTAAGGATGGAACAGAAGTCCATGTAGTGTGACTGGCCTGCTTAGGTCACATGCCTGGCCTAGTCACCAGGAGAGTGTGTCCCCCCCCTCCCCCATTGATTGGCTTAGGTTAATCAGGATCCACACTTGGTCCTGGGTTTGGAGGTGACCTTTCCTGATCATGTTGGGGAGAGGTTGAGACCTGATCAAAATTAAGGTTCTGTTGGGAAGGAAGAAGAGAGTGGATGTTAGGTGGGTAACCAGCAGTGTCCACTACAACTATGCAGAAATGGCCAGCAAAGCAAGGCCATTCGTGAAGGAACATTAGGGGCTGATTGATGTGTTCATTATCTTGATTGCGGCGGCGGTTTCCTGGATATTTACCTATGTATCAAGACTACCCAAATCGTAAACTTTAAACATGTACAATCATTGTGTATCAATCTGAAGTAAAAAAAAAGCTGTTTTTAAAAGCATGTCATATTTTTAATTGCTATGTTACAAAAGGAACAAAAAATAAAGCAAATATTCTTCCAGTTTTCAAAAGCTAGTGTCTGATTCTGCAGAGAAGTCGATCATGTCATCAGCGAATGAGTAAAGGTTTGACTTACGTCTTTATTGTTTCACATTGGTTGTACCCGTTAGTGGAAACAAAAATATGTTAATTTACAAGGTTCCTATTGTTCATCATTTGCAACCATAGGTTGGTCACAGATACAGGTGTCCTGCAAAAGTCGGAGAAAGCGGTGGGCGAGAATGAATTATGTGAACTATAGAGTGTTGCATATTTTATAATTTAAGAAAACGAGGCCATGAGTTACAGGTATAATTCAAGATGCTCTGACAATACGGTTCATGAAGCTTCGGCATGAGGGAGTCATTTTTCAGTATCATTTTCTTTGTCCCCTCTCCCCATGAAGGGTGATCAGGGAGGCCTGAGGAGGAGGCGGCCCTTGGTGGGGTGGTAAAGGCCTCAGCCCTGACCCTGGCTGCCGGCAGGGGGAAGGCAGCTGGCCCAGGGAGGACTCACTTGCCTGGTCATCAAGTCCTTTCTCTTGGCTGCGCTTGGAGTGAGGGAATGGAAAAGAGACTTTGAAACGGTGACCTCTGGGAAACAAATCCACATTTTTGACAAGAGGCCAGATAACTGAGCATTCACAGCTCATCTCCACGTTGGCTCATCTACTAGAAGGCGAGCCGGGAGGTCGAAGCTGTTCTTGGGAAGCAGAATTCCCACTACGTGCCAGGCATTGTGACCCTACTGTGTGTGAAGGTGGGGCAAGGGCTCCAAGGGCAAGGACACATACAGCAGGATTCCGCCTCTCCCCCTGGGAACTCCTCACGCTCTGGCAGGCGATCTTTCATCCTGCCCGACTCACCGTGCGTGCCCAAGTGCGGGGCCCAGGACAGTTGAATAAATGGGCTAGTGGGCCAAAACCTGCATACACAACGTATCGGTTATCCGCCGAGGCATAACAAATCACCCCGGAATTTAATAACTTTAAACAATAAGCTTTTCCCCCCCTTTCTCTTACAGTTTCCATGAGTCAGAAATTTGAGAGCAGCTTAATTGGATGGATCTGACTTACAATCTCTCAAGAGGCTGCAGTCAAGGTGAAAGTAGGCAGCCTCTTTGGGCTACGAGGCAGAAGCTGGATGCTGAGAAAGACAGAGCAACAGGAAAGAGGCTGGGCGGCCAGTGCGCACCTTTGAGAGGTAACCTCATTGCTAATTCTCTTCATTTGCCTCTTGCCTCAAGGCCAAGGGCTGCATCTTACACTTCTTTGCAGAGTGTGCTTAGCAGAGAAGATGGTCCATAACTACTTGGGGGTGAGGCCGTGATTTATTTCTCTCACTTCCCCCTTTGGGGAACACTTACTTCCTCTGAGAAGTGAGTGTGGTGTCCCCAAGCCTCTGCGTGAGAAAGCCGGGTGGGAACAAGCTGGTCAGCGTGAGGGGAAATCGGATCGCACACTGTCTTCTCAGCCACGGTCCGGCCTGGGCTTCCTCTGTCACCTCAGTGCAGCGTGCACTCAGCAGGAGGCTCAGGGACCTCAGGTAAGAGCGTCCGGAATGTGGGCTCACTTCCTCGCAGAGCTGCTGTGAGGGTGCCTGGCACCAGGGAGGGGCGCTCTGGCCGCAGCAGAAGCACAAGTCACAGTTTCTGGCTCAGCCCCAGGCCTGTCCATTGTGTGACCTTGGGCAAGCTTCTCAGCCTCTCGGGGCCCAAGTTCCCTCTTCTGGAAGATGGGTGGGGACATAGCTACCTCACAGCTGCTTGTGATGACAGAGAAGGTGGCTAACAGTGTCCACTGAATAGAATGCTGGTGACAAATGTTAGTTTCCTTCCTTTGACTTGTTTTTGTTCTTTATTGGTTTTTATAAGAGCAGAACAGATGCCCAGCTCTGTGGGCTCTTGAGTGCCTCCCACCCTGTGCCCTGCCCCTGACAGGGGTGCCCAGAGGTGTGTTTTGGGAAGTCTGGGTTCAATTCAGCAGCCATTAATTAATACTGCCTTCAACAAGGTGGTATTGAGGACCAGAACGGAAGGTGTGTTCTCCCTGCCTCCTCCGGGCCTTGTCCACAGCCATCTCAGATACTGACCCTGCAGGGGGTGGTCCTCTCAGGGATCTGGGCCTAGGGCAGGGCGGCTATGTGATTTGTGGGAGCCAGTGCAAAATGAAGACATGCAATCCCTTGCTCAAAAACAGTGCAAATTTCAAGGCAGCTTCTGCAGAGCATTAAACCAAGCATGGGGCCCTCCCAAGGGTGGGACTCTCTAAGCATGGGCTCTGTGACTACACAGGTCACATGCCCATGAACCTAGCCCTGCCCTGGGGTGCCCACACCTGCTAACTTGTCTGGTCTTGGCAGCCCCAGGAAATGGAAGGAGACCTGGTTTCTAAGGCTGGCTCTCAGAGCTAGTAGCTGAGAGACCCTGCGCACAGCACATATGCCCTTCTGTGCCTCTATTTTCCCCACCTGTGAAATGGGGACAATACCCGTCCTGTGTTTCGCTGGTTTGGTAAGTCATCAAGTGTCTGCTGGATTGAGATGCTTAGAACCAAGACCTCACAGCTTCAGGACCCACAAAGCTCTCTGGACTGGAATCACCGAGATAAAGTCCTTCACACACTGTACATTGACCTTAAACAGGAAAGAGTTAATGAAAGGGGTTTCTGACCGATTCTCATCTAAAGTACAACTTCTCATCTAATGTAGAATCTGCGGGAAAGATGTTTCCCAAATATTTTAAAAACTCTAATTCATTGTGGGCTGATATTTTTATAAGTATAATAAAAATGACTAGAAAATGCAATAAAAATATTCAGGCATAAAATTACTCACCGTATTGCCAGGGATATTTATATTCTCTCTTTCTATGCTCGTCTGGGTGCAGATGGATGTTTGTGAGCCTGCACAGGTGCCCAGGGCATACTCTGAGTGGGACTGATCTTCTCGCTACTCAGAGTGAATCCGGAGCATCAGCTTCACCTGGGAACGTGCTGGAAATGCAGCCTCTTTGGCTCCATCCCTTTCGATGTGAGTCAGAATCTGCTTTTTTCATAAAATGCCCTGGTGATTCATGTGCACATTAAAGTTTGGAACGACACCCAAGGCAGTTGGGGTTCGGGAAACTTGTACAATAAAGGAATTAACCAGAACCTCTCCCCTTAATCTCAATTTCTCACGACCCAAGAGCTGACGGCAGGACCAGCTACGTCGCAGGGCTCAGTGTTAAAATGAGAGTGGGGAGCCCCCTTTTAAAAAAAAATCAAGAATTTCATGATGGTGACAACTGGGCCTGGGGCCCTTCTGAGTGTGCGGCCTGTGTGACTACAAGGGTCCCATGTCCATAAAGCTGGCCCTTCTGATGAGGTAGGAAAGGGTTGGGTCATTCTGGACCAATTTGCACTAGCTGAGTTATGTGATTTCTGCTTTGTTTGATTGATTACCAGTCATTATCTTTAAAAAGCTCCAGCCCTCATCCTTTTGAAGTTTACTTTTTTTCTCAGTATGCAAATATAAATGGTTTCAAATGGCTATTATTCAAGTGTAAATGAGTCTTTCAAAAAATACAAATATGTATGTGTCTATTAAAACTCGAACGGAAACTCTATATAGGGAAAGACAACTTGTGCTCATTTATTTTATTGACGGTGTACAGATTTTGATATATTGCATTACAATACTGACTGCTAGATGTCTTATAAAGATTTAGTTCATATTTACTCTAGATTTTTCTTCACAACAAAAATAAACTCATGCCAGTGTTTAGTAACCAATAATATAAATTCATTCCAATTTAATGACAGTTTTATTAAACTAAGAGTCTCATGTCACAGAGCATTCACAGTGCAGGTCACAGTTATTGAAAAAATAAATAGTGGGATAAATATATTTATTATTTACAATTTTCAACTCGTTGCTCCTGCTCTACCTGTTGGAGATAGCGAACAGAGATGCACGCATGCTGCCCAGGGTGCCACAGATGTCTTGTGGGGGACTTGAGTGATGTGTAACAGCCCCCGAAGTTCTTCATTTGGGTTGTTCTTTAGCGGTTCTTTCTGGACACAGAGCCCGATTCTATCTGCCTGCTGTTTGGTCGGTCATGGCTGGGCCCCAGGAAGATTGCCTGGCTGTGCAGAAACCATGCCCAGCCTGTCCCTTGGGCATCTGGGATGCGCCTGGCCTCTCCTCACCCGCCTTTCTTTGGCAGCTCCTGCCTCTGCTCCTGGGCCTGGCCCATCTGGCTGGCAGCCCTCTTTCCTCTCTAGGTAATCAAGGCTCTCTTTGTGTTCAGACACCCAGCAACTACTCCTGCCGGCAGCTGCCGGGCGGGAGGCACACGCACAGGGCGCCATGCCAGGGAGCGTGTGCTCTGAACTGGGCACCCAGCTGTCCAGACGAGCAGCTCCCCGAGGAAACTCCCCAAGCGCCGGTCACAGCAGCTCAGCCACGCTCTCTCCGCTGGGTCTCCAAACGTGCTTGGTCCAAGTCACGTGGAGGAAGCTCCGGGAAGCGGTGTACAGCGCAGAAGGGCACCTCTGGAAGTGAGGGCAGGGGTGCCCCAGTGGCCAGGAAAAAACCCACTAGAACATCCGATTTGGAAAAGCAGAGCTGCCTTGCTCACACCCTGGTCATTTTCAGTGGAAGGAAAGGCCTTGCTCCTACCGTTGAAGGGGACTTCGCGTCTGTCTGGATCCTTGGGGATCTGGAGTGGGAACAGCGAGGGCTCTGTTGTCCGGGACCCTCCCTTTATGCACCAGGGCTGATGGTACCAAACCTCACAACTGAAAGCTGCATATCCTCTCTCTTGATAGCTTCAAACAAATTGCTTTCCAGTGGTGGGGTGGGCAAGGTACACACTTTCTCCGGGATTAAGGGTTTCATTGGCCTGGACTATGGAAAAGTCCCAACCAGCAAGTTGCATAAAGAGCAACTGTTTGAATTCTGGCAACAGGGCGAAGAGGTGTGATTATGCCCGTATTTGTCATCAGGCTTTTAACCAAGGAGCAGCCAACCCAGGCCCATCGATCCGAGGAACGGAATAGCCGCACAGCCCAGGCAGGGCTTTCCCTAGGCTCAGGGGTACTTTCAAAGGAATGGAACAGCCACAGAGCCCAGGCAGGGCTTCCCCCTAGGCTCAGGGGTATTTCCAACTCTCGTTGCCCCCGTTCTGTACCAGGGTGTTCAGGCAACGGACGCTTTCCTAGACCAGAAACGGGGATTCCTCAGCCCCTGCTGTGAGGTGTGTGAAGGCTCCCGACCTCGCTGGCTGGACACCGACACTAAGAGGCAATGAGAAGCCTTGGAGACACTCGGACAAAGTATGACACAAAGCCCGGCCACCAGCCCAGCAGTGTGCGAGGGTTTAGCAGAGATGAGTGGAGCCCGGAGCCATTTGTCATTGAAAAGCTAGAATTCTTTAAATCCTCATAAAATCTCAAGAGCTCTGAGACCACTCATCTGGCTTCCCTGTTGTGACAGAAATAATAGCTCCACCTGGGTGGCCGAACGGGAGAAGAGAGCCTCTTCTCCCGATTTCATGAAGCCACCAGCTTCCCAACATTGGGCAGCTCTGTGACAGGCTGGGCCTTCTCTCGGCTACTAGGCCTTAAGTTCAGTGCAAAACCAGTCCCGGTTTAGTTTTCCTTACTAAGCAGCAAATACAATCACCTAAATGCCTTTTAAAATCTGTGCCCCTACAGACTGTGTCCTGTGGGGAGCATTCTCTGCAGCACAGGCACAGGGCCCCACACAAGCCAGGCTGGCAAAAGGCCAGGCTCGAAGTGAGCCACAGGATCTGTGTCCCACTGTGTCCTTTGCCTTGTGGGCTGGGCCCGTGGAAAGACCCACATGACTAACACAAGGAAGATTTACCCAGGGCTGGAGGGGCCCTTTTCCATGCTTTGAGAAGCCATGAGGGAGCCATGAGGGGCTCACATGTTCAGCCACAGAGTGAAAAGCCAGAGTAAGTGCTCACACATGGTGGGGGTGCCCGGACATTCTGGGTGAATCCACATAGAGGGAGGGCAGGGCCAGGGGCGCGGGGCTTTGGGGTTGGGGTGAGGGATGATGACTCCCTGCCACCCAAGAACTGCCCGGAGAGCACTTTCAGAAGTTTCTGGAAGTTTCTACAGGCACAACGTGGCAATGAAGCTCCTAAGACATGACCACCTCAAGTGCCCTGCACGCATCTGCTAACTGCCTCCAGGGGAGGAAGGTTCCCATGGAAGTCATGTTCAGAGGGCATTGGAGGGACTGGGAGTATTCAAATCACGGCACATGGGAGCAATCTCCTGAAGATTCTCAGCCTAACGGGCAAGTTCTTTGTGTATTCAAGCAACAGACATTTGCTGGAGCCCATCACACTCACAGCCCAGCAGTCTTCTCCAGCCAGGGAGGATTGTGGTGACAAGGCAAAGAGAGGTGGGGGTGGAAGGGAAGGGACCAACCCCAGCCCTAAGTGTCCCTCAGTGTCAGGGCTGGGGGAGGGCCACAGCTCAGAGGAGTGCCACCACCAGCTGAAGGGCAGACAAGTCCCCAAACATGGCAACAGACCCTGCACTGTCCCAGGCCCTTAACCCCACCAGTCCATTTCAGACCTGTGGAAGGATGGAAGGAACTCACCCTCTTCCAGTCCATCTCCCCTCTGTCCACCCCACCTTCAGGACAGGCAGGGCCCTAGGACTCAGGGGGGAGAAACACCAGGAAGAAGGGCCCATACCCTTCCCGGTTCCCAGCTTGTTTGTGACTCCGATGTCCCTTAGTGCTGGCTTCTGCTAAATCTGGGACTTACAAATCCTCATCAAAGGGAAGAGGCCCTGGGCCTGGGGCAGCCCAGGAGGGGGTCTCTGGTCGGGTCTGCACGACTGCTCTATAGTAATGTGTAGGCCCCACCTGGTTTAACTCCGGGAGGGTTAGTGCCTTATCAGCTGCTCAGGTCTATAAAGGCAGGGGCTTGACGGGCAGAAGCAAGAAAGAGCCCTTACAGGTCGCGGGGGAAGGAGCTGATGAAAACTCACAGGGCTGCAAGGTCCGTGCACATGGACGAACATGAATGCAGCACAGGGGCCTGCTGATGGTGGCTTACAGGAGGGTGGGATGAGTCTGACCTGCCCCCAGCCCCCTTAACCATTGGTCTCTCACTACAGCTGATCCAGAACCTTCTTTCAGAGCCAGGTTCTCAAGATACCACGCACCTTCCACCCGGACCACGCTTGGGCTGGTAAACTCTTCNCCCAGCCCCCTTAACCATTGGTCTCTCACTACAGCTGATCCAGAACCTTCTTTCAGAGCCAGGTTCTCAAGATACCACGCACCTTCCACCCGGACCACGCTTGGGCTGGTAAATTCCAATCAGAAGGAACTCCTGNTCACTACAGCTGATCCAGAACCTTCTTTCAGAGCCAGGTTCTCAAGATACCACGCACCTTCCACCCGGACCACGCTTGGGCTGGTAAACTCCTGCTTCTACAGACATTTTCTGAGTGCAATAGTTCACTTTTCTTTTCTGCCCCCAATTACAAGAGTTACATTTTTTTTAATTGCCTCTTTTTGTAGCAGTGTAATTACCCTGTGCTAATTAGCTTTGGGGATAAAATAAAGGAAGTATTTCTGCATAGTGATAAAAGCATTATTGTAAAATGAAGGCCTAATTAATCAAGCAATTCTTTAAACTTGTGATGGAAAAATATGTTAAAAATAAATTTTCACCTACAGCATATATATAGTTTCCTAAGTACAATAAATGCATAAATCCTTTAAGGAAGTAACATTGGCACATTAAAGTCAGAAGAGAATTAACCCAGAGTGCGCTACATATTAAGAACATTATGTTTTAGTCTCAGACTGTAACCGCAGTCTACTTTATAATCTCTTAGGATTCTGCTGAGGAAAAGGCCGGTAATTAGGATGTGTTCTCTGAAAACTATACAAGCGTTCAGACAAGTGACACCAGCAGGGACATCATCTGGGGCCATGCAGCCTGTGCCTTGACGCTAAAAGTATTTTTGGGTCTTTATCGGGAAAAGTGTAGGGACATCGGATAGGGACAGATGTTAGGATAGACGAGTTGCGGCACTCGGGAGTCAAGTAAATATCTGATGAAGTTTTCACTCAAGTAATAAAAACCAACCACAGGGCAAAAGCACACCCACACCTGCACCTCCCTCCCCCAAGGATGGCCAACCCCCTGGGCTGGCTGAGCCAGGATGGGTGATAATCTGGAGCTCAGCCTCCACTCTGCTTCTTACTGGCCATTGACCTAGAGTCACCTGATAGCTTCAGGACTAAATTTTCTGTTAAAAGGGAGCATAATCCCTACTTACATCATAGGGGGGTTGAGACTAAAGATAGAGACAGACGTGCTTTGAAACCCAATGAGTCTGTAAGACAGAGAGGACCAGGCCAGCTATGCTAACAGGAGAGAGTGTCCTGAGGGCTGAGAAACCCTTGCATCTTAAGTTTATAATGACGACCTATGGCTTCCCTGGCCTCCCACTTAGCTAATTTCTTAAGAAAATCACCTTTGTCCTCAACTTGAAGACCACTGAGCCCCATCTCTAGGTAAAGCAACAAAAAGAAGTCTTCACGTGGTGTAACTGCTAACACTGATGTAAACTCAGGGCAGAAGCCTGGAGATGGCGCTCTGGCCCGTCTTAGGCTCACGCTAACTTCAAGGACACAAGCTTGAACACTTCTTCCTTCTGGACTTCAGGAGGCCTTAAAGAGCACAGCACAAAATCCCACCTCCGTCACGATCTCTGTGTCTCAGGAAGGAATCAGCTATTGCAATTCAATGCATCACCAATGACTGATTACTGGTGAGTCGCTAAAAACCTCCTTTCCTCTCACCATCGCGGGCAATTCCCACACAGTCTTACGTGCAAAATAGCTCAATGTTAAAAGTGCATCGGATCTGATAGACTTTTGCGATAGAAACATTAAAAAAATAAAAATACCTCTATATAAAATTAATTGTGCTTTCTTTTTCAGAAACCACAAATGGTTTGTGTTCGTAAATCTTTTTAATATATACTGGAGAGCTAGGAAGCGGTCGAGAATTGTTTAATATTTTTCTATTTTTGCATCAGCCTCTCATCCTTGGCTTTGCATGTGTAGTGAACTGTAAGATTCAAGAAACTGAGCTCTAAACATTCCAAGTTCCGGTTCCAGGAAATCTCTCTTCATGCCATTAACCGTTACCGCTGGCACACCCATTCCAGTTCAGCAGGCTATGAAATTTGTTGGGCATATACACAATTGGGTCTTTCAACAGGATGGTTCTGAGAGTAGAGCATTAACAAAGAAACGACCAACCCAAAGGGACAGTGTGTCGTGCCACACGGAAGGTCTGGAATGCATGGCTGTGAACTACGATCGCCGCCGCCTCTGAATTAGCACCGTTTCGATGTTAGTCTCTCGCTCTCTCCCAAGTTCCAAACCAAGCGTCTCAGCGTCCCCGCAACATGATGCACACAGCATTTGTTTTCTGTGAGTGTCACCTCTTGGGCCTCATCATGGTCCTTGTGTATGGACTATTTTTCAAGTATGATGATCTATAGGACATTTTATTTTTAATATTTCATTGCTCATTCTCTGAATGCATCAATGAAAATAAGAGTACTGTGTTCTTGTTTTCTCTCTTCCGCTATAAAAAAAACACAAACGAACCCAAAAAACCTGAAAAACTGTTTCCATTCTTCCAATTTGTGCAGAAAAAGGGGTGGGATGTCTGCCGTCATGGCCCCGCACCCCCAGCAGGTTGTGAGTGCTCCCCTCCAAACCGTGAGTGCTCCAGCAGAAGTTGGCGGCTCTTCGCAGCACAGGCCACCAAAGGAACTCACCCCGTCTGGCCCGGAGGAGACACTTGAGGACAACATTCCTATTTGCACTTGCCCCAGGAAACCTCACCTTCACCGACCGCCTCATTTCTGAGGATGTCGCAAAACAGAAAGACAAACTGCACACAGAAGTCCTTCTGATCGAGGTGTCTGAGAGAGATGAGACACATGCCACATCCCTGTGACTGGCAGCTCAGGTCTGAGAAGCTGCTCAAATAGCGGCCCCCAAATCTTGCCTTTTTGGGGGGCAGAACTCCAAAGAGGAGGTGGATGCCCAGCAGCCTGGCCTATGACCAAAGACCACGCTGGCTCTTCCTTCCAGTGTAAGAAAGACCAGACAGTGGCTGGTGGCTGGTGGCTGCCGGTGCAGGAGACTCATGGGGGGGGAGAGGGGAGGACCCTAGCGTCAGTGTCCAGGACAGCTCCCAGGGGGGCAGCGGCTCAGCTTTAATCATCTTCTCGGCACATCGGCAAGTTGACAAAGGTGAAGACGTTAAACTCTATCATAATGGAAAAGCACAAGAAGATGGCGTAGAGAACCAGCACGTAGACGCCCAGCTTCCAGTCCAGTCTCCACTTGTTTAGGTGGATGCCGAGGACCTGGCAGGAGAGAGCGCAAGCATTGGGTTCAGGCACAGAAATAAATATAAAAGGCCTTTTTACCAGAAAACTACAAACTATGAACCCCAAAACTTCTAAAATGTGGGCTGGAGCAGAAGGTGCTGCCAGGCAAATCCCTGCTTTGATCAGCATGAGCCCTGCAGACTTTAGACCTGTCCGATTGCAGGGCGAGGCCCTGGCCCAAGCCTCTGACTCCAGTGACACACGCCAGCTGCCCTCAGGGGATGGGCCCTCCCCAGCCCAGACCTTCTCTAGCGACAACTAGGGTCTTCCACGGGGTCCTCCCTTTGCTTCAGGACTTGGCATCTTCAGCAAACGTCCAAGGCTCCTGTTGGCCCACAGTCGGCAAACCTCAGCTTGGGCCAATGTTTTCTACTTGTGTGTGTATTTGGAGAGGGGGCTGGAACACACCCTCCTTCTAAATTCTTCCGACTCTCCCACACTCCCCTCTACTACCTTCTCTTATCCCTGAATCGAGGCTTCCTAAGGGTTGGGCCACAGTTACATCAGAGCAATGTCTCGGGTCCTACAGAGACAGACCAAGCTGGGTATCAATCCCGGCTTTGCCATTTCCTAACCGCGTGACCTTGGGCAAGTTACTCAACCCCTGAGCCTTGATTTCTTCCATAAATTGGGACTGGTATCATCGGGTGTTTGTAAGGACTGAATAAATCAGCAGTGGTAGAGTTTAGCACAGTCCTAGGCACACGGAGTATGCAGCCCTGAGTTTTACTGTGTGCCAGTCCTGAGGCCTGACTATCACACCCCCATCTGCCTGCTCAGACGGGCTGTGGGAGGATTTCTCTCCTAGTGAGAGGGGACGGACCGGGCAGCAAGAAGAGAGGAAAGTCATTCTCTTCCTCTGGTGACTTCTTAGTCGTTCAGGGAACAGTGCAGTGGTAGGTGCCAACATTCTTGGCACAGCTTGTGTCTGGGGGTATCTGAATTGATATGCTTCCTCGGCTTTGCCCCTCACTGCCAGGAGAAAGCGAGAGGGGTTTCAGAGACACGTAAGCGACCCGGCAGAGCCCGATGAAATGAATATGCACGAGGCATCTATTCTGGAAACGTGAAAACTCACGGTGAGTGCCACGGAGCCCAGCAGCAGCACCACGGAGTAGACCAGGCCCCGGCTGTTGATCTTCACCTGCGGAAACAAACACGTGCCGGAATCGCTGGGCTGCTCAGCGCCCGCCCGTCTGGGGGCCCAGCTGCTGCGGTTTAGACCCCCCACCCGCATCTGGAAAGCGCAGGTGGGTGTTCAGGGTGAGCACGCGGCTGCGGGCGATCAGCTAACTGTGGCTTCAAGTCTCGGCTCTGCTTGTCTGCCCAGGAGAGGACGGGCAGGCCAGCGGCTGAGACGGGCAGAAGCACCGGTGAGCGCCGGGCAAACAGGGGCCTCCCCCTGCAGGCGCCCCTCAGGCTGCTCTACAAGCCTTTGCAGAAAGTGGGTGCCGGGGTGCCAAGGAGAAGGGAGTGTGTCCCCAGAGCCCTCGGCTGGGAGAGGGCCACCACCACCGTCTCTCCCATGAGACACACGTGCCTGGTGTCTGTGTTGCTTACTAAGGAGGTGAGAGGAACTGACCGTGGATCCGTAATTGATAACCATGGTCTGCAGACCCCACGGAATGCCGAGCCCCACGAGGATGTCGAACACGTTGCTTCCTATGGTGTTAGAGACTGCCATGTCGCCAAGGCCTGGAGGGGACGATCGACATGTGTCATTCATGAGGAGCAGGTCATGGAAATCGCTGTTCTTTCCCTTAACTGTCCTATTAGTGCTGCTCCTTAGGGATTCCTTCTTCACAGACCCCACAGTTCTAAACCTCTTTTCCAAGATCTAAGACCCACTCCCCGCATAAGTTCTACAGGGGCCTGGTATGGGCTGAATGGTGACCCCCCCCCCCAGGTTCATATG